GGGAGGAGAGAGTAAGAGGAGAGAGCAGCTCCACACTCTGCCACCAGCAAGAACAGAGAGACGGAGAGAGAGCAGGGGGGAGCAGAGAGGAAGAGAGAAGAGAGGGAGAGAAAGAAGGAGGGGAGAGAGGAGAGAGAGAAGGAGGGAGGAGAGATGAGAGAGAGAGAGAAGAGGAGAAGGAGAGAGGAGAGAGAGAAGGAGAGAGAAGAGAGGAGAGAGAGGGAGAGAGAGAGAGAGAGAGGAGAGCAGCTTCACACTCTGCCACCAGCAAGAACGGAGAGAGAGAAGGAGGGAGGAGAGGGAGGAGGGAGAGAGAGAGAGAGAGAGAAGGAGAGAGGAGAGAGAGAAGGAGAGAGAAGAGAGGAGAGAGAAAGGAGAGGAGAGAGAGAAGGAGAGAGAGGAGAGCAGCTCCACACTCTGCCACCAGCAAGAACGGAGAGAGAGAAGAGGGAGGAGAGATGGAGAGAGAGGGAGAGAGAGAAGGAGAGAGGAGAGAGAGAAGGAGAGAGAAGGAGGAGAGAAGAGAGGAGAGGAGAGAGAGAAGGAGAGAGGGAGCAGCTCCCACTCTGCCACCAGCAAGAACGGAGAGAGAGAAGGAGGGAGAGAGAGAGAGAGAGCAGCTCCACACTCTGCCACCAGCTACAGCGTACGGAGAGAGAGAAGAGAAGGAGGGAGGAGACAGAAGGAGGGAGAGAGGGAGGAGAGAGAGAGAGAGCAGCTTCACACTCTGCCACCAGCAAGAACGGAGAGAGAGAAGAGAAGGAGGAGAGAGAGGAGAGAGAGAGAGAGAGAGAGAGAGCAGCTCCACACTCTGCCACCAGCTACAAAGAACGGAGAGAGAGAGGAGAGAGAGAGAGAGAGAGAGGAGGAGAGAGGGAGAGAGAGAAGGAGGAGGGGAGAGAGAGAGAGGAGGAGGGAGGAGAGAGAGAGAGAGAGAGAGAGAGAGAGAGAGAGAGGAGAGAGAGAGAGAGGAGGAGAGAGAGGAGAGAGAGGGAGAGAGAGAAGGAGGAGAGAGGGAGAGAGAGAAGAGGAGAGAGGAGAGAGAGAGAAGGAGAAGGGAGAGAGAGGAAGGAGGAGAGAGGGAGAGAGAGAGAAGGAGAGAGGAAGAGGGAGAGAGAGAGCAGCTCTACACTCTGCCACCAGCTACTGCGGAGAGAGAGAGAAGAAGGAGGGAGGGAAGGAGAGAAAGAGGAGAGAGCAGCTCCACACTCCCACCAGCAAGAATGAACGGAGAGAGAGAAGAAGGGAGGAGAGAGAAAGAGGAGAAAGAGAGAGAGTAGCTTCACACTCTGCCACCAGCAAGAACGGAGAGACGGAGAGAGAGACGGAGGGAGAGAGAGAGGGATGGAGGAGAGAGGAGAGAGAGAGAAGAGGAGGAGAGAGAGAGAGAAGGAGGGGGAGAGAGGAGAGAGAGAGAGGAGGAGAGAAAAAAGAAGGAGGAGGAGAGAGAGAGAAGAGGAGGAGAGAGAGAGAAGGAGGAGGAGAGAGAGAAAAGGAGGGGGGAGAGAGGAGAGAGAGAGAGGGAGGAGGAGAGAGGGAGAAAAAGAGGAGGAGGAGAGAGAGAAGGAGGGAGGAGAGATGGAGAGAGGAGAGAGAGAGAGAAGAGAGAGGAGAGAGAGGAAGGAGAGAGAAGAGAGGGAGAGAGGAGAAGGAGGGAGAGAGAGAGAAGGAGAGAGAGGAGCAGCTCCACACTCTGCCACCAGCAAAGAACGGAGAGAGAGAAGGAGGGAGAGAGAGAGAGAGAGGAGGAGAGAGAGAAAAGGAAGGGGGAGAGAGGAGAGAGAGAGAGAGAGGAAGGAGGGAGAGAGAGAGAAAGGAGGGAGGAGAGAGAGAAGGAGGGAGGAGAGAGAGAAAAGGAGGGGGAGAGAGGAGAGAGAGAGAAGGAGGGAGGAGAGAGGAGAGAAAAAGAAGGAGGGAGGAGAGAGAGAAGGAGGGAGGAGAGAGAGAAGGAGGGAGGAGAGAGAGAGAGAGAGAGAAGGAGGGAGGAGAGAGGGAGAAAAAGAAGGAGGAGGAGAGAGAGAAAAGGAGGGGGAGAGAGAGAAAAGGAAGGGGGGAGAGAGGAGAGAGAGAGGAGGGAGGAGAGAGAGAGAAAAAGAAGAGGGAGGAGAGAGAGAGAAAGAGAGAGAGGGAGAGAGCAGCTCCACACTCTGCCACCAGCAAGAATGGAGAGACGGAGAGAGAGAAGGAGGGAGAGAGAGACAGAGGGAGGAGAGAGGGAGAGAGAAGGAGGAGAGAGAGACAGAGGGAGGAGAGAGGAGAGAGAGAAGGAGAGGAGAGAGAGAAGGAGAGCAGCTCCACACTCTGTCACCAGCTACAATGGAGAGAGAGAGAGAGAGAGGAAAGAGGGAGGGAGGAAAGAGAGGGAGAGGGAGAGGGGGGAGGAGAAAAAAGGGAGGAAGGAAAGAGGAGAGGAGAGGGAGGAAAGAGGAGGAAAGAGGAGGAAAGAGGGAGAGGAGACGAGGAAGGTAGAGTGAGGGAGGGAGAGACACTCTGAGCCACAATGAAACAGAGGAGGAGGAGAGGAGAGAGGGAGAGGAGGGAGGGAGGGAGAGAGAGAGGGAGAGAGAGAGAAGGAGTGGAGGAGAGGGAGGGACGAGAGGGAGAAAGAGGAGAAGGGAGCGAGGAAAGAGGGAGGGAGGAGCGAGCAGCCTCCAGTCTGAGCCACGATCAAAACAGAGAGAAGGAGGGAGGAAAGAGAGAGATGGGAGAGGAGGAGAAAGAGAAAGGTGAAAAGCAAGAGGGGAGGGAGATAGACAGAAGAGAGAGAGGAGGAAAGAGAGAGTGACACAGAAAGGAGAGGAGGAATAGGGGAGAGGGAAGAGTGAGGATGAAGGAAGAAAAGAGAGGAAGAGGACGGAGGGATGGAAGACTGAGTGAGGAAAAGAGAGATGGAGGGAGAGAGAGACATGTAGAGGGAAGACTGAGAGAGGGAGAGAAGAGAAAGAGAGGATGGAACGTCTGGAAGGAGGAAAATCTCTTTATAAAAAACGTTTGTCATTTTACCTTTTCTCCACTAGAGGGAGTCCTGCCTCACACTCGTTTACTGATTCTCTCTCTTCTTTTCTCTTCTCTCTCTTCTCAGCCAATTCAGAAAGTGATGAACGCAGACTAGACGGTAAGAAACATAAATATATCCACTGTCTCTCCTCTTTCCCACATATTCTCTGACTTTTCTTGTCTTTTCTTTTCTTTTTCTGTTCCAGTTTCGTCTCTGTCTCTGCGTTTGGACGGAGCTCAGATTCTGTTGGTGATCTTCGTCCCGGTCGCTCTCATCCTCCTCACCATCACAGCCGTCTACCTCTACTTCTTCAAGTACGGACTAAATAAATAAAACTGTTTATATAATCGAGAAAAAAAAAAAAACTCCTAAAGAACAAAGAGTTGATTAATCCATTAAAATCCGCTTTATTTCTATCGCACATTTTACAAACAGTTTCCAAAGTGCTGCACAAAATAATAATAAAACAATAATAAAATGATCAAAATAAACCCTCAGATTTAATCATATTAGTCTTAAAATAATAAAACCAGTAAAATAAAATAAGAGCAAAATCATAGAATAACAATAAATAAATAAATAAGGCCAATAAAATACATACATACATTTACAAATATTAAAATAAATAAAAGACACAGAATAATGAATGATTAAGATTAATTTATTCTAACTAAGGGTTTAGTTTAAGGTTGTAGTTATAATAAATAATATAATAAATTTCCCTGTTGGATTGGAGGTCAAATAAAAAAAGAAAAAAAGGCCAAAAAAAATTGCAAAAAAAAAAGTTGGACATTTCTTACCATTACATTAGACAGACTAGATTAAAATAATTAAACTTTATTGTCTGTTATGGAAATGTATTTACTAGACATGTAATAGTAAACAAAAGACAAAAAAAAGAAAAAATACATTATCTGGTTTTAAATTGTATACTTGTGCTGTTTTTATTTTATTTTTTGTGTTTTACTTTGGCAGAAATATTCAGTTGACAAAAACTTTGGCAAAAAATTCTACAAAATTAACACTGATATAAAAGAAAAACATCAAGTTTTACCTATTTGAAATTATGTTTACATCTGTTTTATTACGTCTCATGTTCTCTTCTCTTAATGTTGTTTTCTCTTTGTGTTTGTGTGTGTTTGTGTGTTTTGTGTGTTTTTGTGTGTTTTTGTGTGTTTTGTGTGTTGTGTTTTTTGTGTGTTTTGTGTGTGTGTTTTGTGTGTTGTGTTTTTGTATCTGTGTTTGTGTGTTTTTGTATGTTTGTGTGTGTTTGTGTGTGTTTTTGTGTGTGTGTTGTGTTTTTGTGTGTTTTGTGTGTGTTTGTGTGTGTGTTTTGTGTGTGTTTTGTGTTTTTGTGTGTTTTTGTGTGTGTGTGTTTTTGTGTTTTTTGTGTGTTTTTTGTGTGTTTTGTGTGTGTGTTTTTGTGTGTGTGTGTTTTTGTGTGTGTTTTTTTTTGTGTGTTTTTTGTGTTTTTGTGTGTGTTTGTGTTTTTGTGTGTGTTTTTTTGTGTGTGTTTGTGTGTGTGTTGTGTGTGTTTTGTGTGTGTTTTTTGTGTTTTTGTGTGTGTTTTTTTGTGTGTGTTTTTGTGTGTGTTTTTTTTGTGTGTGTTTTGTGTGTGTGTTTTTGTGTGTGTTTTGTGTGTGTTTTGTGTTTTTGTGTGTGTTTTGTGTGTTTTTGTGTGTGTGTTTTTGTGTTTTTGTGTGTGTTTTGTGTGTTTTTTGTGTGTTTTTTGTGTGTGTTTTTGTGTGTGTTTTGTGTGTGTGTGTGTTGTGTGTGTGTGTGTTTGTGTGTTTTGTGTGTGTTTTTGTGTGTTTTTGTGTGTGTTTTTGTGTGTGTGTTTTGTGTGTGTGTGTTGTTTTTGTGTTTTGTGTGTGTGTGTGTTTTTGTGTGTGTGTTTTTGTGTGTTTTTGTGTGTGTGTGTTTTGTGTGTGTGTGTGTGTGTTTTTTGTGTGTATTTTGTGTGTTTGTGTGTTTTTCTGTGTGTATTTTTGTGTTTTTGTGTGTTTGTGTGTGTTTTCTGTGTGTATTTTTGTGTTTTTGTGTGTGTTTGTGTGTGTGTTTTTGTGTGTTTTTGTGTGTGTTTGTGTGTGTGATTTTTGTGTTTTTGTGTTTTGTGTGTGTTTTTTTTTTGTACACAGAAGCCCGCTCAGACTCACAGTGTCTAAAAATCCTCCATATCAGAACATCAGCTCCGGATCGACCAACGACAACTCACTGTACGACACAACGGTGAGTCTGGAACTTATGAAAAATTTGCAAAGATTTAGTTTAGTTTTAATCTTATTTGCAGAAATCTTTGGTTATAAATTAGCAGTTTTAATCTCTAACCTGGGAAAGATGTTGTAAAAAAAAGATATTAACTTGTGTGATGAAACAGATCTGATGCTCACAACTCACAATCTCTTTATGTTGTTGCAGTAACTTCTAAAACATATAATTCTGATTCACTATAGAGCAGAGATGGGACGAGGTAAAATTTCCACAAGACGAGATACGAGACTGGGCCCACAAGAACGAGACAAGACGAGATTTTCACAGAATTCCTAATACGTACATTTCACAGTTCAGTTTCCAATTTTGGCCTCACAATGTTGCGATTTATTTCATTTTATAGTTTCGTTTGCATTCTAGTTCTGCTTTTTGGAACTGTAATGCTGCATTCAGACCAAAAAAAACACGCTGGACGCCTTTAGTTTCGACAGGTTTGTATTTGAGTTAGGACGCTCCTGTCTTAGGCCTGAAGTGACCCAAATCCAATTTTTTGGCCTCTATGTTCCTGTTTTTGATCTTTTAATGACAGTCTGAACGACACAGATCCGATTTTTTCAAATGTGACCCAGGACACTTGGATATGTGCTCCTGAAACTGATACATATCTGATCTTTTGACATGTGACTTCAGTGTGAACGGCCAAAGTGCATTCATCCACCTACACGTTATCAACAAGACACAAACGTCACTATTCTGCACTGAAGTAGGTGAAAATTGTTAATGAACTCTGTGTGACTGAAGTGAAGCACATCACCACTCACCACTCTTGGCTCCGTCTCCACATCCACACGTTCCTTTCAACGGACGTCGCTGCCGCTGCCCCACAAAACACCACGACCAAAAACCTCGTCCTTCTCCTTCTCAATCTCCTCCTTAAAACAAGTAAGTTGTTCATGTTCTGGCTCTGGTACGAGAGGAACTTTAAAATCTCCAGGTGCTCGATGCTGCGTCCATGTTTGGACAACTTCTGTAAACACAGAGACGCTCGCTGCGGTTGACGTCGTCGTGTCTCCAGTGTCACATGTGGGACACTTTTGGGCTGTTTAATGTTCACACTGGAGTCACATACAAGTAACATTTAATTGGAAATGTGAACGACCTTGCAAAAACATCGGATTTCACAAAAAAAATCGGAATTGAGCGTTAAGCCCTGCAGTCTGAATGTAGACTTAGACACCTTGGACAAACAGGAGAAAAACACTTGACGTGCGTCCAGGGCGTCAGCTGCAGTCTGCAAGTGCCTTATTTTCCCATTAGAGACAGTGGCTTTAGCGTATTTATTACAAAAAACACATCAGCAGATTTGATCGGCTCAGCGGTTTTGGCGTATACCGTATTTTTCGGACTACAAGTCGCTCCGGAGTATAAGTCGCATCAGCCAAAAAATTTGTAATGAAGAAGAAAGAAACATATAAGTCGCACTTTTTGGTGGAAATGTATTTTATAAAATCAGAGACCAGGAACCGACATTTTATTTTGAAAGTCAAGTTCTAGTAAAAACATTAGAAAAGAGAACAACAGACTGTTAACGTCACATATGAACAGTTCTTCAGATAAACTATAACATAAACAACAGAACAGAACAAGTTTAACAAACTCTCCATCTCACTCCAAATCACTAAATCCATTCAATTCTTCATCCTCGGTGTCACTGCTGAACAACTCCTCGACCTCCGGAGGTAAACAGAGCGTCTCTTCCTCTTCTGTGTCGCTGTCGTCAGACTCAGCATCAGTTCCAGTTAGAATTATTCTGGTCTTTCTGAATCCCGACAGGATGATTTCGGTGTCACTGAAGTCCAGACTTTGTCCATCCAGTGACTTCAGGAAAGTTTCATGGTGCATCCTCCCGGTGTCACAAGTTTCTCTCACTCCAAACTTTCTTTCTTTCTAAAAACAGGACTAAAACAGGACTAAACCAGGACTAAAGCAGGACTAAAACAGGACTAAAACAGGACTAAAGCAGGACTAAAATAGGACTAAAACAGGACTAAACCAAGACTAAACCAGGTCTAAACCAGGATTAAAACAGGACTAAAGCAGGACTAAACCAGAACTAAACCAGGTCTAAACCAGGACTAAAACAGGACTAAAGCAGGACTAAAGCAGGACTAAACCAGGACTAAACCAGGTCTAAACCAGGACTAAAACAGGACTAAAACAGGACTAAACCAGGACTAAAACAGGACTAAACCAGGACTAAACCAGGACTAAAACAAGACTAAAGCAGGACTAAACCAGGACTAAACCAGGTCTAAACCAGGACTAAAACAAGACTAAAGCAGGACTAAACCAGGACTAAACCAGGTCTAAACCAGGACTAAAACAGGACTAAAACAGGACTAAACCAGGACTAAACCAGGTCTAAACCAGGATTAAAACAGGACTAAACAAGGACTAAAACAGGAATAAACCAGGACTAAACTAGGACTAAAACAGGACTAAACCAGGTCTAATACAGGACTATATCAGGTCTAAACCATGACTAAAACAGGACTAAACAAGGTCTAAAACAGGACTAAACCAGGACTATACCAGGTCTAAACCATGACTAAAACAGGACTAAACCAGGTCTAAACCAGGACTATATCAGGTCTAAACCATGACTAAAACAGGACTAAACAAGGTCTAAACCAGGATTAAACCAGGACTAAAACAGGTCTAAATCAGGACTGAACCAGGACTAAACCACGATGAAACCAGGAATAAACCAGGTCTAAACCAGGATTAAAACAGGACTAGACCAGAACTAAACCAAGACTAAACCAGGACTAAACCAGGTCTTTTGACTTTACATAACTCTTTCGGAATTTCTATTTTCCCGTTCCTCACAACTTCTCCAAACTTCCATATAATTTCCTCTCAGTTATAACATGGAATTCCAAAGCTTTACCAAGTTTTTAATGCTCAATTTTGATTTAAACATTTACATAAAACGTTTAAAATGCTCTTCTACTTTTCCATCTACGTCCCAAAACTCTTTAGAATATTCCGTGTCATTCCTTCCCTCACTCCAAACTTTCTTTCTGCTGCTCGATTATCGTTTTCAGCTGCAGATTTCACGA